CGTCAGCGGGGGAATCGTGCCCCATCGTCGGCGTCAGTGGGGGGAATCGTGCCCCATCGTCGGCGTCAGTGGGGGGAATCGTGCCCCATCGTCGGCGTCAGTGGGAGGAATCGTGCCCCATCGTCGGCGTCAGCGGGGGGAATCGTGCCCCATCGTCGCGTCAGTGGGGGAATCAGCCCCATCGTCGGGTCAGGGGGGAATCGTGCCCCATCGTCGGCGTCAGTGGGGGGAATCGTGCCCCCATCGTCGGCGTCAGCGGGGGGAATCGTGCCCCATCGTCGGCGTCAGCGGGGGGAATCGTGCCCCATCGTCGGCGTCAGCGGGGAGGAATCGTGCCCCATCGTCGGTGGAATCGTCAGTGGGAGGAATCGTGCCCCATCGTCGGGGTCGGAGGAATCGTGCCCCAGTCAGCGGGAGGAATAGTGTCCCAAGAGCTGGATAAAAGCAAGCAGCAGTTCGGAGACCTCTGACCTATACATCAGCAGGGTGTCAGTAGCATGAAGACAGCAGTTTTCCTTTTCTCGGAGGCCCCTCTGTAACATTACCTGTTGATCCTGCCAGTAGATCCATTCATTTCTCACTTCCTGTAATCAGCCAAGCTATCCAGCGAATGTGACAGTTAGAGGAGACGGGACGAAGTATAGAAACACTCAGCGCTCGACTTTAATTGAACGATTTTAAACCCCCCCCCCCCCAGGGAGGAAAGATTTGCTGTAGTCAGAGTTGGCTTTTATGTAAAGTTCATATAAAGCAACACTTGACCCCCCCCCAGCAACAATAGACCCCCCCCACCAGCAACAGATCACTCAGCAGCCAGCATCAATAGACCCTCCAGCAGCCAGGAACAATAGACCCCTCCCTCAACAGTGGATCCCTCTCTGCAACACCTGACCCCCACTAGCAACAACAGATCTCACAGCAGTCAAGACAATACACCCCTTCCTCAACAGTAGATCCCGCTCAGCAATGCTTGACCCTTCCACCAACAATAGACCCCCCCCCCCCACCAGCAAAACAGATCTCTCAGCAGTCAGCATCAATAGACCCCTTTCTCTGCAGTAGATCTCACTCATCACCACTTGACCCCCAGAACAACAGACCCCCCCCCCCAGCAACATCAGATCTCTCAGCAGGCAGCATCAATAGACCCTTCAGGAACAATAGACCTCTTTCTCTGCAGTAGATCTCACTCATCAGCACTTGACCCCCACTAGCAACAACAGATCTCACAGCATTCAGCATCAATAGACCCCTCCCTCAACAGTTGATCCCCCCCCCAGCAACAACAGACCCCCCACCAGCAGCAACAGATCTCTCAGCAGCAGCCAGACCCCCCCCCATCAATAGACCCCCCAGCAACATAGACCCTCCAGCTGCCAGGAACAGGAGACTCCTTCCTCAACAGTAGATCCCGCTCAGCAACGCTTGACCCCCAGAACAATAGACCCCCCCCCAGCAACATCAGATCTGTCAGCAGCCAGCATCAATAGACCGCTAACAAAAAGCCCCGCCAATATGACATGTGATTGCACACGGGGTGAGCTCGGGGACTGGCATATTTGGATGTCGGGGCCGTATCTGTACCCATACAATCAACGATAGATTTACCAAAACCATGAAATAAATGGACCTACCGCATCCATCCAATCATTTTCTATCCAATCAGGAAGACTCTTGCATTGCTGAGCAGATCTAAAGGAGATCAGATTGTGTAGTTTATGGCCTGGCGTTGATCTGCCAACAACTATGTAGTGTATGGGCCTGCCTGATGGTTTTAGGTAGGTCGTCATTTGGAAACTCGGGCACTGCCCGAGGGCCCGGGGTCAGTAGGGGGCCCCATGAGATGCCCCTGGTACCTTTTTCATAGGCTTTTTTGAGTGTGGGCAAGGACACAGGGGCCCCATGATACCCTATTGCCCGGGGGCCCCATGAGTTGTCAGTCCGCCCCTGGTCCCTGGTCACACTGGGTGCAACTCAGCATGCGATTTGCATGCCGAACGACTTTCAAATCGCACGCCAAGTCACACCCTATCGTCCGCAATTACATCGGTCACGTCGGTGCGATTCCAACTTGGTCAGAGCCGCACCGATTTCTCCAATTTTGGTGCGATTTGAATACACAGGTGTCAGATGTCATGCAATTCACACCTGAAAATCAGCATGTCACCCGAATTTGAAATCATGCGACTTCACAGTAAGTCGCACCACGATTTCAAAGCTGGGTTTGAGGCAGGGGCGGACTGACCATTTAGAAACTCAGGCACTGCCCGAGGGCCCGGGGTCAGTAGGGGGCCCCATGAGATGCCCCTGGTACCTTTTTCATAGGCTTATTTGAGTTTGGGCAAGGACACAAGGGCCCCATGATCCCCTATTGCCCGGGGGCCCCATGAGTTGTCAGTCCGCCCCTGGTTTGAGGTGACCGGGGTGCAAGTGGCCGCTCACACCGGTGCAATTTGTGACTTGAAATGGCATCTAATGAATGTGAATGTCGATGTCTTCACGTGAGATTTCTAGAGTCGTTCTTTCAGGACTTTTTCTGCAGTTCTGTTGCGATTTCAGACATAGAATAGAATGGAGGAGAAAAAAAAAAAATGAATTGCACCGCGAATTGCAAGAAAACGTTGAAAATCTTCACAAGTCTTCAGAAATCGCAGCGGTGTGACTGGTGACCAGGGGCGGACTGACAACTCATGGGGCCCCCGGGCAATAGGGGATCATGGGGCCCGTGTCCTCACCCACACCAAAAAAAGCCTATGAAACAGCCAATGAAAAGGTACCAGGGGCATCTCATGGGGCCCCTACTGACCCTGGGCCCTCTGGCAGTGTCCGAGTGCTGGAATGGTCAGTCCGCCCCTGCCAGCGACAGAAGGCGATTGTGCAACCATAGTTGCCGATGTCGGGTTGGGGGTTGCCAGTCTCCGGCACACATGGGTAGCCATGGCTCGCGCTGCCATTTGAACCCGTAAATCTTTTGCAATTTCCCGGGGGGGGGGGGGGGGGGGGGTGGCATGTACTCACCTGTGCTGTACGGTAAGTGCTCGGCCCACAATGTGACCGCACAGGATGGCCGGTCCTCCTCACCTGCCAGGGTTCCGCACCCACACCATTCAACAACCTGCAGCCAGCACAGGAGGAGCAATCAGGCTCACAGTCCAGTCCCGTGCCTTAAAGGGGACCTGTCAGCCCACAGAACACCCATGTGAGAAGCCTCAGCAGGAAGCTGCCGACACCCGAAACATGACTGGTTAGGATCTGCCAGCCCAGATATGAGGGTGTTCCTAAATATGGGGCGGGGTGTCTATCGGGGGCCCATTCAGACCCTGGTACCCCCACGCACTGCATTGAAGCAGACAATTCCGATGAATGGACCGCCACGTCTGAGGACATGCACTGCACTACAGGAGGGCCCCACCCTGCATTCTGGGGCAACGCATGTGTGCTGCGGATGTTGGGGGGCCATTTACAGTGAACTGATGATTTTATTGGGGATGGTTTTGTCGATGTCAGGGGGGAGGAAACATTTATTAGTACTTTCCATAAAAACGATTTCAAATAATAAGAAAATATACCAGACTAATCCACACAAAGGGAGCAGTACAGGGAGGGGGGGACAGGGGGGCACAGTACAGGGGGGCAGGGGGGGCACAGTACAGGGGGGAGTCAGGAGGGCACAATACTGGGGGACAGGAGGGCACAGTACAGGGGGGACAGGAGGGCACAGTACAGGGGGACAGGAGGGCACAGTACAGGGGGGACCGTAGGGCACAGTACAGGGGGGACAGGAGGGCACAGTACAGGGGGGACTAGGAGGGCACAGTACAGGGGGGACAGGAGGGCACCTTACAATGGGGTTAAGGAGGGCACAGTACTGGGGGGCTAGGAGGGCACAGTACGGGGGGGACAGGAGGGCACAGTACAGGGGGGACCGTAGGGCACAGTACAGGGGGGACCGTAGGGCACAGTACAGGGGGGACAGGAGGGCACAGTACAGGGGGGACAGGAGGGCACAGTACAGGGGGGACAGGCGGGCACAGTACAGGGGGGACAGGAGGGCACCGTACAATGGGGTTAAGGAGGGCACAGTACTGGGGGGCTAGGAGGGCACAGTACGGGGGGGACAGGAGGGCACAGTACAGGGGGGACAGGAGGGCACAGTACAGGGGGGGGGCGGGGGGGCACAGTACAGGGGGGACAGGAGGGCACAGTACAGGGGGGACAGGAGGGCACAGTACAGGGGGACAGGAGGGCACAGTACAGGGGGGCTAGGAGGGCATAGTACAGGGGGGCTAGGAGGGCACAGTACAGGGGGAGTCAGGAGGGCACAATACAGAGGGGACAAGGATGTGCCCTTTGTAATGGGCACATGAGGTTTACAGACCCGGGAACTCAGCACAGGGATGGTGGGAACCCCTCATAATGGGCACAGCGAGCGTACAGATGCGGGAACTCAGCACAGGGATGGTGGGAACCCCTCATATTGGGCACAGCGGGTGTACAGACCTGGGAACTTAGCACAGGGATGGTGGGAACCCCTCATAATGGGCACAGCGGGTGTACAGACCCAGGACCTCAGCACAGGGATGGTGGGAACCCCTCATAACGGGCACAGCGGGTGTACAGACCCAGGACCTCAGCACAGGGATGGTGGGGACCCCTCATAATGAGCACAGCGGGTGTACAGACCTCGGAACTCAGGACAGGGATGGTGGGAACCCCTCATAATGGGCACAGCGGGCGTACAGACCCGGGAACTCAGCACAGGGATGGTGGGAACCCCTCATAATGGGCACAGCGGGTGTACAGACCTGGAGGAACCCTCTATGAAGGATTTCACACCTATGATGATAGAATTTGGGGTCCTCCAGTTTTTTCATCCTCATCCTGACTCCAGGTCAGTGAGGGGAGGAGGAGGGACGGGGATGACACCCCCAGGGCCCAGTCGGCCATGACACCAATAACGAGGCGTAGGTGTAGGAAAAGTCTTTATTTGGGTGATTGGCTCAGAGCAGCTTGGAGTATGTCAGCTCCGCCATGCCGTCCCGGATGTAGCGGAAGTACTCCAGGTGGCCGCGGTGCATCTTGCACTGGAACTTCCCGGAGCTCTTCACATACTGCATGAAATGGGGGGCCCCCGGGAACAGCACGTTGTCCGCCAGGATGATGGTCCCCTCCTGCAGGAGCCCCACCTCTTCCAGCAGCTGGAGGTCCCGCAGGTAGCATCGCTTCCCGTGATCCATGAAGATGAAATCCAACGTCTGCACCCCATGCTTGTCCTTTAGCTGCGGGATGACTTCATCCGAGGGACCCACCAGGAGCTCCACCTACAGGCGGGGTAGAAGATGACAGCGTGAGGGGAAATATGTGAACAATGACACTGATCCCCCCCATTCTCCTAGGATACAATGTACAGTCTGATCACTGAGGGGGAGGAGACTGAGGAAATGACTCTTCCTCCTTCTACAAAGTTACAATGTACAGTCTGATCACTGGGGGAGGGGAGACTGAGGAAACGCCTCCTCCTCCTTCTACAAAGTTACAATGTACAGTCTGATCACTGAGGGGGAGGAGGCTGAGGAAATGACTCCTCCTCCGTCTACAAAGTTACAATGTACGGTCTGATCACTGGGGGAGGGGAGACTGAGGAAATGACTCCTCTCCTTCTACAAAGTTACAATGTACGGTCTGATCACTGGGGGAGGGGAGACTGAGGAAATGACTCTTCCTCTTTCTACAAAGTTACAATGTACGGTCTGATCACTGGGGGAGGGGAAACTGAGGAAATGACTCTTCCTCCTTCTACAAAGTTACAATGTACGGTCTGATCACTGGGGGAGGGGAGACTGAGGAAATGACTCTCCTCCTTCTACAAAGTTACAATGTACGGTCTGATCACTGGGGGAGAGGAGACTGAGGAAATTACTCCTCCTCCTTCTACAAAGTTACAATGTACGGTCTGATCACTGGGGGAGGGGAGACTGAGGAAATGACTCCTCCTCCTTCTACAAAGTTACAATGTACAGTCTGATCACTGGGGGTGGGGAGACTGAGGAAATGACTCCTCCTCCTTCTACAAAGTTACAATGTACGGTCTGATCACTGGGGGAGGGGGAGACTGAGGAAATGACTCCTCCTGCCTGCAGCAGACTGATGACATCATCTCAGCCTCTTCCAATATAAGGGGGAGTTGAGATCACAGACACCCCCTGCGGAGTCCTGCGAAGGGGTCCCGTGTCTGTAATAAAGTGCGTGTTGTAATCATGTGACCAGAGGAGGGGGTGCAGCTCTCATTGTGAAGGATTCCAGCAGGCGCCCTGACACGGCCGATCTCTCACTATGCTCATCGATCGGATCGGATCTCCCACTGACATCGGTTTGGTACATTTTCATTGGCTGGTACAATCAGATTGCAGTGTGTATGGGCTGCCTTAGTGCTGCCAGTCAGTGATCGGCCCCCATAGAGGTCATGTGATCGGCCCCCATAGAGGTCATGTGATCGGCCCCCATAGAGGCCCCCATAGAGGTCATGTGATCTGTCATACTGCCAGTTGTGCCCCCTGGATGGATTTACTCATTGATAAACAGAGACGGTACGCACCGTGTCATCATCGAAGCCAGCCAATCGGATCACCTTCTCAGCCACGGCAGCCTTCCTGGGGTTGTAGTCCACGGTGTAGAGGCGGGCCCCCAGTGGCAGGGCCTGGGCGATGATGATGGTGGCGTAGCCGCAGTATGTGCCCAGTTCCAGCACATTGAGGGGCGCGTTCTCATAGACCAGACGATCCAGGGTCTTCCCTGGGGGAGGAGAGAAGAGACGGGGGGGAGTGGGCTGGGTTATAAGGGGTCCTTCTCCACTGACCACCAATATAAGGGGCCCTTCTCCACTGACCACCAATATAAGGGGCCCTTCTCCACTGACCACCAATATAAGGGGCCCTCTCCACTGACCACCAATATAAGGGGCCTTTCTCCACTGACCACCAATATAAGGGGTCCTTCTCCACTGACCACCAATATAAGGGGTCCTTCTCCACTGACCACATATATAAGGGGTCCTTCTCCACTGACCACTAATATAAGACCACATATATAAGGGGTCCTTCTCCACTGACCACTAATATAAGGGGGTCCTTCTCCACTGACCACTAATATAAGGGGTCCTTCTCCACTGACCACTAATATAAGGGGTCCTTCTCCACTGACCACCAATATAAGGGGTCCTTCTCCACTGACCACTAATATAAGGGGTCCTTCTCCACTGACCACCAATATAAGGTGGTCTTTCTCCACTGACCACTAATATAAGGGGTCCTTCTCCACTGACCACCAATATAAGGGGGTCCTTCTCCACTGACCACCAATATAAGGGGTCCTTCTCCACTGTCCACTAATATAAGGGGGTCCTTCTCCACTGACCACTAATATAAGGGGGTCCTTCTCCACGGACCACCAATATAAGGCGGTCTTTCTCCACTGACCACTAATATAAGGGGCCCTTCTCCACTGACCACTAATATAAGGGGTCCTTCTCCACTGACTACTATTATATGGGTCCTTCTCCACTGACCACCAATATAAGGGGTCCTTCTTCACTGACCACTAATATAAGTGGTCCTTCTCCACTGACCACTAATATAAAGGGTCCTTCTCCACTGACCACTAATAATTATAAAGGGGTCCTTCTCCACTGACCACTAATATAAGGGGTCCTTCTCCACTGACCACTAATATAAGGGGTCCTTCTCCACTGACCACTAATATAAGGGGGCCCTTCTCCACTGACCACAATATAAGGGGGTCCTTCTCCACGGATCACCAATATAAGGCGGTCTTTCTCCACTGACCACTAATATAAGGGGCCCTTCTCCACTGACCACTAATATAAGGGGTCCTTCTCCACTGACCACTAATATAAGGGGGTCCTTCTCCACTGACCACTAATATAAGGGGTCCTTCTCCACTGACCACTAATATAAGAGGTCCTTCTCCACTGACCACTAATATAAGGGGTCCTTCTCCACTGACCACTAATATAAGAGGTCCTTCTCCACTGACCACTAACATAAGGGGATCCTTCTCCACTGACCACTAACATAAGGGGGTCCTTCTACACTGACCACTAACATAAGGGGGTCCTTCTCCACTGACTACTAACATAAGGGGGTCCTTATCCACTGACCACTAATATAAGGGGTCCTTCTCCACTGACCACTAATATAAGGGGGCCCTTCTCCACTGACCACTAACATAAGGGGGTCCTTCTCCACTGACCACTAATATAAGGTGGTCTTTCTCCACTGACCACTAACATAAGGGGGTCCTTCTCCACTGACCACTAATATAAGGGGTCCTTCTCCACTGACCACTAACATAAGGGGGTCCTTCTCCACTGACCACTAACATAAGGGGGTCCTTCTCCACTGACCACTAATATAAGGGGGTCCTTCTCCACTGACCACTAATATAAGGGGCCCTTCTCCACTGACCACCAATATAAGGTGGTCTTTCTCCACTGACCACTAATATAAGGGGCCCTTCTCCACTGACCACCAATATAAGGTGGTCTTTCTCCACTGACCACTAATATAAGGGGTCCTTCTCCACTGACCACTAATATAAGGGGTCCTTCTCCACTGACCACTAATATAAGGGGTCCTTCTCCACTGACCACTAATATAAGGGGTCCTTCTCCACTGACCACTAACATAAGGGGGTCCTTCTCCACTGACCACTAACATAAGGGGGTCCTTCTCCACTGACCACTAATATAAGGGGGTCCTTCTCCACTGACCACTAATATAAGGGGTCCTTTTCCACTGACCACTAACATAAGGGGGTTCTTCTCCACTGACTACTAATATAAGGGGTCCTTCTCCACTGACTACTAACATAAGGGGGTCCTTCTCCACTGACCACTAACATAAGGGGTCCTTCTCCACTGACTACTAATATAAGGGGGTCCTTCTCCACTGATAAGGGGTCCTTCTCACTAACTAATATAAGGGGTCCTTCTCCACTGACTACTAATATAAGGGGTCCTTCTCCACTGACCACTAATATAAAGGGTCCTTCTCCACTGACCACTAACATAAGGGGTCCCTTCTCCACTGACCACTAATATAAGGGGTTCTTCCCCACTGACCACTAACATAAGGGGTCCTTCTCCACTGACCACTAATTTAAGGGGCCCTTCATATGGAAGAAAAATATATTTGAAATATATTTTTAAAAATTTCTTCCCAGATATATTGACACATATTTGAAATGCTACAATTTTAACCTCATTCAATATAATTCAAAATCTATTTCAATATATATATATATATATACTGCGTGTTGAAATGCATTTTTATTACAAAATATATGAAAAAAAAAATTAAAAATACATTTCAAATATTCTGTATGTCTTTAAAAATACAAATCTACATTTTTGGAATTTATTTACAAATATATGTTAAAATGACTTTTTTATATGTTAAATAAAATCTGAATAATATATTTAAAAAAATATATATATTTTTAAAAATATTTTTCATATATTTTGTAATATATAAAAAACACTAATTTCAACATACAGGGTATATATATATATATATATATATATATATATATATATATATATATATATATATGTATATATACACACAGTGGGGATGGAAAGTTTGGGCACCCCAGCTAAAAATTTGTATTAATGTGCATAAAGAAGCCAAGGAAAGATGGAAAAATCTCCAAAAGGCATCAAATTACAGATTAGACAATCTTATAATATGTCAACAAAAGTTAGATTTTATTTCCATCATTTACACTTTCAAAATAACAGAAAAAAAAACAAAATGGCGTCTGCAAAAGTTTGGGCACCCTGCAGAGTTAATATCTTGTACTGCCCCCTTTGGCAAGTATCACGGCTTGTAAACGCTTCTTGTAGCCAGCCAAGAGTCTTTCAATTCTTGTTTGAGGTATCTTTGCCCATTCTTCCTTACAAAAGTCTTCCAGTTCTTTGAGATCTCTGGGCTGTCTGTCACGCACTGCTCTTTTAAGGTCTATCCATAGATTTTCAATGATGTTGAGGTCAGGAGATTGTGAAGGCCATGGCAAAACCTTCAGTTTACGCCTCTTGATGTATCCCCCCCGTGGATTTCGAGGTGTGTTTAGGATCATTATCCATTTGTAGAAGCCATCCTCTCTTTAACTTCAGCTTTTTCACAGATGGCATCAAGTTACCATCCAAAATTTGCTGAAATGTTATTGAATCCATTTTTCCTTCTACTCGTGAGATGTTCCCTGTGCCACTGGCTGCAACACAACCCCAAAGCATGATTGATCCAACCCCATGCTTAACAGTTGGACAGAGGTTCTTTTCATTAAATTCTGTGCCCCTTCTTCTCCAAACGTACCTTTGCTCATTCCGGCCAAAAAGTTCAATTTTAACCTCATCGGTCCACAGAACTTGTTTCCAAAATGCATCAGGCTTGTCTATATGTTCATTTGCAAAGTTCAAACGATGATTTTTGTGGTGAGGACGTAGAAGAGGTTTTCTTCTGATGACTCTTCCATGAAGACCATATTTGTACAAGTATCTCTTTATAGTGGAATAGTGACCACAACTCCAGTGTCTGCCAGATCTTTCTGGAGGGATCGTGCAGTCAAACGTGGGTTTTTTGAATTGTTTTTCTCACAATCCTGCGAGCTGTTCTGTCTGATATTTTTCTTGGTCTTCCAGATCTTACTTTAACTTCCACTGTTCCTGATGACTGCCATTTCTTAATGACATTCCGAACAGAGGATATTGACATCTGAAAACGCTTTGCTATCTTCTTATAGCCTTCTCCAGCTTTGTGAGCGTCAACTATTTTCAGTTTCAGTTTTCTAGACAACTGCTTAGAAGAACCCATGGTGCTGATTGTTGGGGCAAGGTCAGATGAGTCTGGGCATTTAAAACCTTTGAGATTGACATCACCTGGTCTTCCCAGATGATGATTGAGAACAATCCATGACACTGGCAGGTCTCAGCTTGGCAAAGGGGGCAGTGCATGCTATAAATTCTGCAGGGTGCCCAAACCTCTGCAGACGCCATTTTTTTTTTTCTGTTATTTTGAAAGTGTAAATGATGGAAATAAAATCTAACTTTTGTTGACATATTATAAGAATGTCTAATCTGTAATTTGATGCCTTTTGGAGATTTTTCCATCTTTCCTTGGCTTCTTTATGCACATTAATACAAATTTTTAGCTGGGGTGCCCAAACTTTCGATCCCCACTTTATGTATGTATGTCTTTAAAAATACATTTAACCTACGTTTTTAGAATGCATTTACAAATGTATGTAAAAAAAATATGTTAAAATGACTTTTTTATATGTTAAAATAAATCTAAAGAATATATTTAAAAATATATATTTTTCATATATTTTGTAATATAGAAAAAACGCATTTCAACATACAGTGTGTATGTGTATATATATATATATATATATATATATACATATATATATATATATATAAATATATATATATTTTTTTTTTAAACATATTCTTCAGATTTCCTTTTAACATATAAAAAAAGTCATTTTTAACATATATTTTTACATATATTTGTAAATACATTCCAAAAACGTATATTTGTATTGTTAAAGACATACAGTATATTTGAAATGTATTTTAAAAAAATATGTTTTTCATATATTTTGTAATAAAAACGCATTTCAACATGCAGTATATATATATATTTATTGAAATAGATTTTGAAATATATAGAATACGGCTAAATTGTAGTATTTCAAATATATGTCAATATATTTGGGAAGAATATTTTTAAAATATATTTTTCTTCCATGTGGGTGGAGCTCCTGGAAACAGACTGTTTTTGGACATTACTATATACAAATAAATGGCCTCTTACGGTTCGAGTCCCATGTGCTGCGTTGGGTAAATCTAATTTTTTTTTTCATTCATCCTGGACACTGCTGTAAGCATCGACCTTCCAGTGCTGAGAATGATCGTCCCGTCTCTCATACGGCCAGTAATAGCCTTGCTCGCTCTCCGCCTTCCTCCCCCCCCTCCTCTAATCACAAAACGTCTTGTATTCTTTTGCAGGATACAAGGCATTCTGTGTATGGTCAGGGATGGAGATCCTGACGTTCAGAAAGGCGGAGAGCGAGCAGGAGTGTATATTCATTCTGGGGGCAAAAATTGAATGATCCCCTTTCAATTTCCTGTCCAGGTCAAATGTTATTCATTCATAGAAAAAAAAAAACAGAGCAGTTTAGGAAAATACAGCATTATGACCACTAGATGTCACTAAGGATCACAGAAAGGTGTATGAGCCTCAACTCCATCTAGTGGCCATGATGCTGTATTTTCCCGAACTTTTTTTATGAATAACATTCAACCTATAGAGGAAATAGAAGGAGAGCATTCAATTTTACCACCCATGTGCAGAACAAATGAACCAGCAGCAGCCGGCCAGACAAGGGACAGCCCTCATTGGAGGCCTTTCATTGGTACATTGCAAATGTTTTTTTTTCTAGAGCTCTTTTTTGACCCATAGATACCTACAGTAGATATTACAGGTTAGTAGACTCTGGATATATGAGGGACAAAGTTGTAGAAATTTTCAAGGTGGACAACATAAACCTCCTGTGACGGTGGACCTTCGCCCACGTTTGTGACGCACCTTTCTGAGGTCCGATGTTGCTGAGGTGCTCACAGTGCAGGCAGTACTGGTCGAAGGTGTTGAGCACGTGCTGGGGGTCTCCGGGGATGGCGTGGAGCATGACGTACTGGAAGGCCCGCTCCTCGCGTGGCATGCCGGTCAGATAGTCCTGGATCCTGCGCACCATCACGGCTCGGTAGAAGAGCAGGAAATAATGGCGGTAGCGGATGATGAGGGTGATGATGAACGGGATGAAGGCCAAGGCTATGGCTGGGGACACCATGGTTCCAACCTTCGAGAGGAAGACAAGACAGGGGACGCCGTGACCACCTCATACACACATCAGTTCACGACCTGACACCCTCGCAATCGCAACAATGTTTTGCAAATTCTTGTAGCACCATCATGTAATGTCTGTTCGTATCATCCAATACGATGATGACACCGTGGTTCCAACCTTCGGGAAGAAGACAAGACAGGGGATGCCGTGACCACCTCACATACATGGCAGTTCACGACCTGACACCCTCGCAATCGCAACAATGTTTCGCAAATTCTTGTAGTACCATCATGTCATGTCTGTCCGTATCATCCAATACAATGATGACACCATGGTTCCAACCTTCGGGAAGAAGACAAGACAGGGGACGCCGTGACCACCTCACATACATGGCAGTTCACGACCTGACACCCTCGCAATCGCAACAATGTTTTGCAAATTCTTGTAGCACCATCATGTCATGTCTGTCCGTATCATCCAATACAATGATGACACCATGGTTCCAACCTTCGGGAAGAAGACAAGACAGGGGACGCCGTGACCACCTCACACACACGGCAGTTCACGACCTGACACCCTCGCAATCACAACAATGTTTCGCAAATTCTTGTAGCACCGTCATGTCTGTCCGTATCATCCAATACTATGATCATGATAGGTCACCTTGGGTTGTGATGAGAATGAGCAAATCTATGAGGATCTGGAGATGCCGACCATTCCTCACAACCAACCCTGAGAGACCCATAACAGAGCACTTTGATTGGCAAGATATATGTTTTTTTTTCAAAAGGCAAATTTTTATAAAAACCAACAGGTTTCGGGGATTAAGATCTGTCCTTCATCAGGGTTTGAAGGAACAATATCTGTGAAAACTCAAGAGGCTGCCCGAACCAGCGGCTAACGAATGCCAACCACCAAGGAGACATCCAATTATTACTGATCTTAGAGTTGGCATTGTCGGGAAAGCATCAGGAAGAGCCTTAGACAGGAGCGTACCTACAGGGGTCGCAGGGGTCGCAATTGTGACCTGACCCCATGCTGCAGGAGGCCAGTGCGACCCTCCATACTCCTGTAGAAGCGGTTGGGTGCGGCTGCATGTAGGGGAATTGATCTCTCCATTTTCCTCCTGCAGCTGCTGAATGCCTGTGGGAGGGAGAGGAGGAGAAGCCGGTATCAGCAGGTGCTGGAGGAAAATGGAGAGATTGATTTCTCTATATGCAGCTGCCCCCTTGCTGCTCCTCCTATCCAGCTTTTCTTTCTGCTGGCCCCCCCCCCCTCTCCATGCTATCCTGGCCCCCCCTCCTTGCAGCACTGCCGCCTTACCCCCTCCCGCTGGATGGAGAGCGGGGAAGGGGCCTACCAATGTGTCGTTGACCGACCCTTTTTTTTGTGAATGGAGAGTCAGTGATCGGTATGCATTCAGAAAAAAAAGGGGTCGATAAATGACACATTGACCGGCCCCTTCCCTGCTGTCCATTCATAATTGAAGCATAGTAAACTGTGTTTACTATGCTTCAGTTTATGAATGGACAGAAAGCCTCTGTACAGAGCTATTTACTGCCCATTCATTCTGTACGGCTGAGGTTGCAGAGATGGAGATTGAGCGCTGTGTTCGCAATCTCCTTTCTCTGCCTCAAAGGTGAACATCAGAGGTCTGTTTAGACCCCTGATATCTCACCAAAACCCCCCCCCCCCATCTCTCAACGGGGCTCTTGCAAAAATGTAAAAAATTTCATTTAAAAAAAAATTGTAATAGAATAATGGTAAATAATATTTAAAAAATAAAATAACTACTGACACCAGTGGTCACAAAGGTCTCACTTGCGACCCAGGCAGGACTCGGAGGGAAGGGCCCTGGCTGGGGGTCAGGGGGGCCAATCCTGAAGGTTCTAGTTACGCAACTGGCCTTGCAAGAGTGTTAATACCCAGAACAAGGGTCAAAATGCTGATGTGAACACGTCCAGGGGGCACTGACCCACACGCTTGTTTCCAATCTTGGTGCCAGACGGCCAAATATAGGAACAGAGCTGAGTCAGAATGCTGCTGCTACATGTTGCTTACCGGTTACTCTGCAACATAATCCCGGAACCTGTTCCTGTGATCTGCTTTCCTGTTGCTGACCCAACTGGACTTGTCACTGCTCCGCCTACCTTCTGTTGACATTGGCTAGCTCTTGACAATGGATGACCTCAACTGACCTTCAGGTGTGACCTCAGCCTGCATTACGAATTCAATTCTGTTGACTTCCCAGTGTGACCTTGGCCTGTCTCCTGACCATGATTCTGCTGACCTTCCGTTGTGACCTCGACCTGCCTCCTGACCAGCGGGGTCAGCGCATGCTGAAGCGCACAGTGCGCAGAAGTCACCAACTGTCTGCAGAGTCAATAGCTAAAGACCTCCAAACTTGGTGTGGCCTTCAGATGAGCCCAACAACAGTGCGTAGAGAGCTTCATGGAATGGGTTTCCATGGCCGAGCAGCTACATCCAAGCCTTCCATCACCAAGTGCAATGCAAAGCGTTGGATGCCGTGGTGTAAAGCACGCCACCACTGGACTCTAGAGCAGGGGAGGCATGTTCTCTGGAGTGACCAATCACGCTTCTCTGTCTGGCAATCCGATGGATGTGTCTGGGTTTGGCGGTGGCCAGGAGAACGGTACTTGCCTGACTGCATTGTGCCAAGTGTAAAGTTTGGTGGAGGGGGGATTAAGGTGTGGGGTTGCTTTTCAGGGGTTGGGCTTGGCCCCCTAGTTCCAGGGAAGGCAACTCTTTTGGACTTTGTGGGAGGAGTTTGGGGATGGCCCCTTCCTGTCCCAACATGACTGCCCCCCAGTGCACAAAGCAAGGTCCATAAAGACATGGAGGAGCCAGTTTGGGGTGGAGGAACTTGACTGGCCTGCACAGAGTCCTGACCTCAACCCCATAGAACACCTTTGGGATGAATTAGAGCGGAGACTGCGAGCCAGGCCTCCTCCCCCGACATCAGTGCCTGACCTGACAAATGTGCTTCTGGAAGAATGGTCCAACCTTCCCATAGACACCCTCCTAAACCTTGTGGACGGCCTTCCCAGAAGAGTTGAAGCTGTTATAGCTGCAAAGGGCGGGGCCAACTCAATATTGAACCCTATGGACTGAGACTGGGGGGCCATTAAAGGTCATGTGCGTGGAAAGGGCGGGGCCAACTCAATATTGAACCCTATACTAAGAGACTAAAGACTGGGAGGGCGGGGTCATTTAAAGGTCATGTGTGTGTGGAAAGGGCGGGGCCAACTCAGTATTGAACCCTATGGACTGAGACTGGGGGGCAATTAAAGGTCATGTGCGTGGAAAGGGCGGGGCCAACTCAAATATTGAACCCTAAAGGACTGAGGGCGGGGCCAACTCAGTATTGACTATGGACTGGGGGCCATTAAAGGTCATGTGCGTGGAAAGGGCGGGGCCAACTCAATATTGAACCCTACAGACTAAGACTGGGAGGTCATTAAAGGTCATGTGCGTGGAAAGGGCGGGGCCAACTCCATACTGAACCCTATGGACTAAGACTGGGGGGCCATTAAAGGTCATGTGTGTGGAAAGGGCGGGGCCAACTCCATATTGAACCCTACAGCCTAAGACTGGGGGGCCATTAAAGGTCATGTGCGTGGAAAGGGGCGGGGGCCCGATACTTGGGGCAATCTAGTGTATATCCAAAGCTGGGAGTAGCAGAACACTCTAAAAAGTTAAATTGCGCTTCAAAAATGCAGCTTGATCATGTGACCAGGAAAATTGACCTCCAATGGATACAGGCCTCCAGGCAGGTACAACTGTCACTTCTGGAGATCCAGCAAAAAAATTAAGAGCGTTCTGCTGCAAAAGGCTGACACTGAGCACATCAGCGGTTAAACCATTAAAAACACGTTTCGGGGTTTCCGATGAAAAGGTCGGGCCCCGAGACGTGTAAGTAGGGGGGCCTTTCATCCCAAGATGCAAACTCAGTCAAGTTTGTCCTCGTTAGACCCGTGTGTGCTCGGTGTCATTTCCATGAGCAACTTTGTAATTACAATGTATCTTTATTGCATCAATTAAAGTCGACCTTTACCCCCAGATTCCTGATACATGTCCAATAAATGCCACAAAGATATTTGTGAAAGCCAACAATTTGAGCAAACTTACTTTTTTTTCCAACTTCAGGGTTTCTGCTTCAGTGGGAGGAATAGTGCCCCATTCATTCGTGTGTCAGTGGGAGTGAATAGTGCCTCCCATCATTGGTTGTCAGTGGTGGAGGAATAGAGCCACCATCATTAGTGTCAGTGGGAGTAATAGTGCCACCATCAATGGTGTCAGTGGGGGAGGAATTTATTGCCCATCAAAGGTATCAGTGGGAGGAAATAGGGTTGCCTGGCCATCATTGGTATCAAGTGGGAGGAAAAGTGTCCTCCATCATTGGTGTCAGTGGGAGGAATAGTGCCCCATCATAGGGTGTTCATTGGTAGGAATAGTGCCCCATCATGTGTCCAGTGGGATGAATAGTTCCCCACATTGGTATTAGAGGTAGGAATATTGCCCATCATTGGTGGTCATTGGGAGGAATAGTGCCCCACATTGTATCAGTGGGAGGAATAGTGCCCCCATCATTGGTGGTCGACATGGAAGGACATAGATGCCCCCTCATTGGTGTACAGTGGAGGAATAGTGTAGCCCCATCATTGTGTCATTGGGAGGATAGTGCCCCAAGCATTGTATTGCAGTGGGAGGAATATGTGCCCGCATCATTGGTGTCAGTTGGAGGAATAGGTGTCCCAACATTGGTATCAAGTAGGAAATAGTGCCCCATCATTGGTCGTCAGTGGGAGGAATAGTGTCCCATCATTGGTATCATGTGAGTGAATAGGAACCCCATCATTGGTGTCAGAGGGAGGAATAGTGCCCCATCATTGGTGTCAGTGGGAGGAATAGTGTCCCATCATTGGTATCAGTGGGAGGAATAGTGCCCCATCATTGGTGTCAGTGGGAGGAATAGTGTCCCA